GGCTGCCGCAGTAGACGCGGCGCACCACGTGGCGGGCAGCGCGGCGCTCGCCCTCGCCGCGGAGGCCGCGAGCTCGAGCCAGGCCGCGGCCGCAGCGCAGGCGCAGGCGCAAGAGCTGGCCGAGCAGAAGGCGCTCGCGGTGGCATCGCGCGCCTTCCGTGAGGCGGGCCGGCTCACTGCAGAGATCAAGGAGCTGGCCGCCAGGGCGGACGCCCTCGAGGCGAAGCGGGAGACGGCGGCGGCCGAGCTGACGGCCACCAAGCTCGGGTTGCGGGTCCTCGACGCGGCGCGCATCGAGGCTGCGGCGGACGCCGCGGACTGCCGGCGCAGCCTCGACCGCGCTCTCTGCGACACGCTGCGCAGGCACTTGAGGGGCGCGCGCGCGCAGCTCGCGGCCTTCTCTGGCACCGCTGCAGCGAGCGAGAGTAGCGGCGGCGAGGGCGGCGGCGACGACAGTGGCGAACGCGGCTGCACGGAGGGCGCGCCGGCGCTGTTGGTGGCGCACCATGCCGCGGTGGTTGCCGAGTGGGCCGTGGTGCGGCGGCGGCTCGGTCTCGAGGGAGGCGAGGCGGAGGCGGTGGCGGAGGCCCAGGCCGAGGCGGAGGAGGAGGCGGAGGAGGAGGCGGAGATGGCGGCGCGGGCAGGGGAGGACGCCGAGGATGCGGTGAGGGACGGCGCGGTGTGGGCGGCGGCGCTGCGGGAGAGCGAGGCGGAGGCGGAGGAGAAGGAGAGCGAGGAGGATGCCAGCGAGGAGGAGGAGGCGGGCGGGGGCGAGAACGGGGTGGAGGTGCAGCCGCAGCCGGAGGCGGTGGAGGAGGCGGTGGAGGCTGCCGAGGCCGCGGAAGACGACGGCGCGGGGGGTGGGGGCGAGGAGGAGGCGGGCGGAGGAAGCCTAAAGTCGGATTGCGGCGACTCAGCAGTTTCGCACAGGGCTGACCAGGGCACGTGCGATGGGTGCGCCGAGCCCGCCGTGCGTTGTCGGCTGCGCGTCGCCGAGGGGAGGGTCGTCTGCGTCGTCGGAGAGCAGGCCGCCGCTCCCGCCGCCGACGCCGCGGAGGAGGAGGACGTGGAGCGGGCGGCAGAGGAGGCGGAGGCAGAGGGCGGGGAGGAGAGCGGCTCTTTGCTCGAAGGGAGAGCAGCGAGCGTGGCGGGCGCGGGCGCGGGCGGCGCGGCCCGGCTCGAGGCGCTGCAGGCCGAGGTTGTGCGTCTCGACGCGCGGATCGACGAGGCGGTCAGCGTGGAGGATTTCGAGCTCGCCGACATCCTCGAGGCGCGCCGGCGGGCGGCCGCCGCCGCGATGCAGAGCTGGGAGGAGGCGGAGGAGCTGCGGCTAGCGGCCGACCAGGCGACCGCTTCCGAGGAGTGGGAGGCGGCCGAGGAGCTCGAGCAAAAACGCCGGCGGCTACTGGAGCGCGTGGACGCCTTCTTCGTGGAGGATGCGCCCTGCGTCGAGTGACGCCCATGCGGGTCGTTCACTTTGTGGTCGTGCCATGCGGGGGCTCCGACACTTTGAGCTCGACGACCAGAGACCCGACGTGTGTGTGCGAGAGAGAGAGAGAGCTGAGAGGGCGGCGGTGTCGGTGTGTGTCGTGTCGTGTGTCGTGTTTTATGTGTTTTATTATAACACACGTGTTTTATTATCGTGGAAAGGTCACCACAGAGCTGGCGGTGAATACTTTTTTGCGCGTCTTTCGACAACAAAAATACGCCCGCACGCTCGACACACGACATAACCCGGACGACGTGCGTTTTTGCTTCTCTACAAAACACGCACACCCACGCCCGCCCCAGTCAGCGGACCCAGCGCCATCGAGAAGAAAGACTTTGGCGAGCCAACGCAGCCGAGAGATAAATTCTCCGCACGGCGAGAGCCTAGCCGCTAGCGGTGCAGAGCGCGAACTCGCCGTACTGAGCCTAGCGCAGCGCGAACTCGCCGTCTGAGCCTAGCGCAGCGCGAACTCGCCGTCTGAGCCTAGCGCAGCGCGAACTCGCTCTGTTCATAGCAACGCTAGCGGCATTCATTTTGACCGCAGCGAATATGTTCACACCTTGAGCGGAGGCCAATTGATTCGCGATACTCTGGCAAAAAAGGGGTTGGCAACGGGCTTTTGCGGGGGCAAGCCTTCAGCTGGTGCCAAAACGTACCAAAACGTCCGTCCCGTCGACCAAATACGCGGTCGGTAGAAATGGCTTGCTTGCAAGAATGGGATGCCGACAGGCGTCAGGCGGCGCATGCCGAGAAGTCGCTTGCCGTGCGGGAGCTCGTGCGCCTCTCCCTGCGCGTGCAGTCCACGGGCGTCGTCGCGGAGCTTCATCTCGACACGGCACTGGTTGCTCCGAGCGGCAGCGGAGCTGATCACGAGCGACGAATTCGCCGGGGATGCCAGGCAACAGATGGGCGCGCAGATAATTGGCGTGGCGTCCCAAACAACGCGACCGACGAGCATGCTCAACTGCTGCGCGACGCTCTCTGCGACTCCGACTTTTGTATGCGCTTTGCCATTCGCCGCCGCATTGGCTCAGGGGGCACAGTCCGCTTGCAGTGGCTCTTCCGCACGAATAGCGTTGTTGGCCGCATGCGTCCTGGCATCGGGAGGGTCCGCCTAAGAGGAAGTACGTTCGTAAGAACTGATACATATACTTTTTGTGCGTGGAGCGTCTTCCCCTTTTGCGCAGCAACACCTTAAACTTTTAGGCCCTCCAAATTCGGGTCGGAGCGTAGCGGAGTGGGCCCCGAGTTTGAAAAGGGCGACGGACGCTTGCGTCCTAGCCTCCAACAACGCCTCCCCGGCGCAGAGGGGCCCCCGGAGGGATGCTCAACCGCTCCACGCCACGCCGCTCGCGGCGGTCCTATTCCCAGCTCCGCTGAGGGCGGATCGCGTTATTCTTTTTCGCAAGAGGGACCTGCTCGCTGGCTGGCGAGTAGCGGCCCCGCCCACCCACAGGGTACCTCTCCGAGGAGAGCGTGCGTGGGCTACTCGCCAGGCTCGCTGGCACCATGCAAGCGTCGGCCATTCTGGCGATCGCAGCCACCGCCACCGCGAAGTGTGCCGCGCTGCGGCACATTGGCCGGCGCAGCGCAATTGGACTTGCCGGCAGCGCCGCGGTCGCGGCCGTCGTCCCTGATGCTGCCAATGCCGCCGCGGACCCGACCGTCAAGATTTACTTCGGCGCGGGTTGCTTTTGGCACGTTCAGCACGAGTTTGTGGGCGAGGAGGTCGCCGCGCTGCAGCGAGGGCCGGAGAGCATCACTGCGCGGACGGGCTACGCAGGCGGCACACTCGGCGGCGGGCTGAAGGACGGGAAGGTGTGCTACCACAACTTTAAAGGCGTGGCCGACTACGGCTCGCTTGGCCACGCCGAGGCCGTTCAGCTGGAGGTTCCGACGTCTGCCGTGCCGCGCTTTGCGAAGAAGCGAGCGCACGGATCAGTTTGTCGTGCTGGGCCGTGGCCGGCGCCGCCTGACGCTGCGCTGTCGCGATTAGGTACTTTGACCTCTTCGGTAGCCGCGGCTACCGGCACGACCCCCAGGACCGCGGCGGAGAGTACCGCTCGGTGCCGCCATAGAGCTGTGCCCACCTAGTGTAAACCGACCCAACCAACTCGAGAATCCCCAAAGGTGCTCGGTCTGCCGGGCGGGCAGGCCTCGCCGCTCTTCCCCGTCATCAAGCAGGCAGCGCTCGAGAGCCAAGGCGGCATGAAGCTGTACGCGGGCAGGGGCAACGAGCCCGACACCATCGGCGACAAGGCGGTGCTGGTGTACGATAGCGACAAGTGAGCCAAAACTCTGCGGAGATCACGCCGAGACACGGGGATATCGCGTCGAGATCGGAGTGTGCGGACGGAGGCGGTAGCTGGTCGCGCAGTCGGGTCTCTGCCCACCCGGTCGCGCGCTCGCCCGCCAAACGCTCGCAACAGCCACACCCACCCTAATCCGCGGTGCAGGTACCCCTTCTACCCGGCCGAGCTCTACCACCAGTTCCACGACGACTTCATGGGGCCGAGCTACGGCAAGGCGTACAACAGCCTGCAGGGCCGCCAGTACAAGCAGGGCCTGGTCGGTCTGACGGGCTGCCCCGACATGGACCCGGTCCGGGACGAGGGGCGGTACGCCAAGGGGTTCCCCTCGTGAACGCAGAACGGGGCTGTGTGTATCTACGTCTCAGTCGAACATGCTACGTGCATGCTTGTTACGACGCGAGTGGCGCGCGAGTCCTCCATAATTCCATGGCGGGTAATAGCTAATATGCCTGAAGCGTCCATTCTTTTTGCTTTGCATGTCCCCTCTTCCATCACCACAGAGTCGTTGTGAAGTTCGTTGTGCTTGTGGCATGTGTGGGGGCCTTCGCCTTGGCCTTGCACGCTGTCGACCTGTCGTCCTCTAAAACTCCTATTATCCATCGCGTCCGAGTTCTCCAGCTGATCGTTGGTTGTATTTGTTGATTGGTCCTTTAAATCTCCTGGGTTGGCGTGCCCCGAGAGCTGCGTCCTGGAGAGCTCCCGAGGCACATCGCCGCACGACCCCGGCGTCGGCGCTCGAACAGGCCCATCGCGCCGGCTGCCGGAGTGGAGAGTCCCAGGTTGTCTCATAAAGGCCCATCGACAATTGGGGTCGCCGGCCGGTAGGGTGGCGGCCGTAGCTGCCCCCGGCGTGTAGCTGCTGCTCCAATCGCACATCGATCCCATCGCATGTGGCCCGCCGGACGTCTTTCCTCTCATGGTCGAGAGACTGGGGGAACCGGCCGGGACAAATCCCCGAAAATCAGAGGAGCAGCAGGGGATGCGGTGCACCTTGGTACCCATGTCTGGTGTGGGGATCCCGGTCGACCCTGCCCCCACCCCAGAACATGTTGCCTTCGCCTCGCGGCTCAGCGGTAACTGGGTGCACCTTGTTACGTTCACGCCGCCCCAGCTTAGGTATGTCACGTTCACGCCGCCCCAGCTCTCGTCCAGTGCCAATTTCTGCAAGGGAACAGCCAGGACGGGCCCGCCACCGGCGGGCGGGCGGGGGGGCGGGGCGAGGGCGGGGCGGGCTGGCAGGGCGGAGCGCCTGTACAGGCTGTGCTGCTCAGCTCCGCCACGCTTGTCATCTCGAGCTCTGTGATGCGTCAGAGGTCCATTGCCTCCTCGCGCCCACCGCCCATGTAGGCTCGCTCGAGATGGCTCACAAGCCTCACAGGTGGCCACGAGGCCTCGAAGGTGGCTGTCAAGCCTCGGCTTACCCAGACACGCCTCTAGCACCCTTTGGCGTACCGCTGGTCGCCACAGTGGTCGCCTCTTTGTGGTCGCCACGATGGGGTCGTCACACATTGTGGACGCCCGACTGTGTGGACGCCATGGCGCGGCCTTGGCTTCACGCCACGGACCACCTCAGGCCCAATGCCTTGGCGGCGGCGGGTTGGGGAGCTGTCTCTCTGGGCGCCACGTTGCATACTGTCTTGCACGTGGCCCCAGTGGAGGTCTGCCCGTGTGGGCCGGCCTCTTCCTTGCCGCACCAGTACGGTTCCTGCGTGTTGGATCTATTTTGGTAACTAACGCCAATA